AATAATTTCAAATTTATGAGAAATTTAATATTAATTACATCTAAATCTAAAGCAATTATTACAAAACATTATGCTATAAAGAAGGGTAGATTTATAATTATTCATAAATTTTTATTTTGTACTATATTTTGCATTTTTGTTGGTTTTGCTCAAATTATAGTAATTATTGATGTCTCAATGTCGATTTTGGTTAAATTTATATTGGTTCTTTTTCAACTAAAAATGAATATAAAATTACAGTAAAAGTCTTATGGCTCGATGAACATTAATCATCTCAACGAATCTCTTACTAGAGACTACATAAATTCTCCAATTAAAATTTTTAGAACTAACTACGCTAAGATTTTTAAGAGCCAACATTTAAAGGAAATTATTCAATACTAACGGTTTTTAAGAACCAACATTTAAAATAAATTATTCAATACCGGCGATCTTTAAGAGCCGATATATTATGCAAATAAAAATGCAAAAATCAGGTTTATCAAAATGCAACAAATTAGTTATAGTTGTAAAAAATGTTCTGACAACCAATCCTTCTTTAATTTTAAACCAGTCAAGAAACATTTACTAACTAGTTCTCATTTATCAAAGAACTTCGGGAACGTCTCTGAAATTTAATTTGTCAATGGCCGTAGAAACTAGAAGTACCTGATTTAGGTTATCATATTCATCTGCATGAACCGATCAACTAGATTTTTTGTTCCCTTTGTCTGAAACTAATCACCACTGGGTACCATTTTGGCTCAAACGATTACAGATTTGAGTTGCCTCGGATGGTTATACCCATTGGGTTACACATCTAACAGGCCCTGTTTAAATGGTTAGCAATAACAATTATATATATATGCAGAGAAATAAATAAATACTTGTATTCAAACAAAATTAGAAATAAAAATTCTATCTCACAATACACATTGTAGTTTTACTAAATCAATTAACTGGGAAAAGTAAAAGCGTCTAGCCACTCATGATAAGCTACATCTCAAAGTTTGTTTTTGATTCAGTGGAAAGAGGAATGACAAAAGTACAAAAAAGTTGTAGGTGTTGTAGTGTGCGACATGAGGAAGATGATCTCTATTTTCTGTCGATGGCTTCTTTTATAGCCAAATTTAAAATAAATTATTCAATACCGGCGATTTTTAAGAGTCGATATATTATGCAAATAAAAATGCACATATATCTTTTTATCAAAATTTTCAAAAAAATAAAAGAATTGATACATGTGGTTTTAAGGAGCCAACACTTAAAAAGAATTATTAAACTCTAGATTATATTTTCTAAAAATCTTTTAAAATACATTTAAAATAACTTGACTTGGTTTCTTTCATAAACCAGGTTTGAAAATAGATCGTATTCTTAATAAAGTCCGTGTAGCTTTATGAATGAAACTATACCAAACTCTAAATGATTACCTTTTTTATTGATTCAACAATTTATGTCATAGATATAGAAATACTACAATAATGTTGAAGATTACTGATTGCGAAGATAGTAATGTTTTTGGATCCACTTTTTAGATTTATAATCATTCATAAATTTTATTTATATTATATTTTGCATATATGTTGTATTTGCTCAAATTACAATAACTATCAATGTCTTTATATTGATCATTGTCAAATTTATATTAGTCGTTCTTCAACTAAGTGAATATAAAACTATTGTAAAGGTTTTGCACGGCGTGATGTAGTAGAAGTTTGTTAAGCATCTCAATGAATAGACATGAGGTTTAATAGAAACTACAAAAGATTTTTTATTATATTTTTTATAAAAAATTATGCTGACGGTTTTCAATAGTCAACATTTAAAGAGAATTAGTCAATGTTGGCAGTTTCATAAATTAGGTTTAAACATAACTCGTATTCTTAATAAAATTCTTACCGTTTTACAGATGAATCTATGCCAAATTTTCTTAAATGATTGCCTTTTCTATTGATTCAACAATTCAAGTCATGGATGTTGATTATACTCTTTGTCCCATATAGACTATATGCTCATGGTGTAGATTTATTCACTCTATTTAAAGAGCTCTTCGCATACATTATTGAGCTCGAATAATCTACGTTAAGCATGTGAAACTCTTTAGCATGCCTTGATATATATGTGCTCTACTCCTATAACATATGAACCTAAACAGGCTCTGAAGCTAAAGAGAGCTTCGAACTTTTTTTTTCTCAACTATGTTAAGTTTGCAAGTTATTTAATTTGTACCTGATCAGGTCATTGCAAAAATATATATTCTTTTTTCAAATCTAGTAATATATAAAAAATCGGATTATGGATTCACCTTCTTTTTTTCTCGAAGTAAGAAATCAAAAAGCCACGAACAAGAAACACGGCAGCAGAAAACAACCAGCCAGCATTGCAACACCGCCACGAAGCAACAGAAACCACCCAACATCACCTTCTTTTCTAAGTCTGTCTCGGTTAATTTCATCCCAAACCCTTATATATAGACGCCTGTGTGTGTAAAGATGTATATACACACAGACATACATACATAATCAACAAGCAAGAGATTATCAAAAGAGATTGAGATATTTAAACACTCCTAATTAAATTAACCACAAAAGTCATAATTAAGTGCATAACCAAATTGCTTAAAGTTTGCAATACTTATTGGACTGACAGAGCAAAGCTGAAAAACTAAAAAGCTGATAACCACCGTAAAGTCCTAAATTAAAAGAAACCAAAATTAAAAAGCATACAACATCTAATTAATAAAAACCAATTCGGCAGATGGGGATGCCTTGGGAAATTTCTTAATATAATCAATGATGTTATGAACGGTCGGAGGAGCAACTCCACGTTCGGATGGACGAATTGTAGTGAAGAGAATGGACATGTTTTCCAGCGTGGTTGCCTTGCCAAGCAAATACTTTATCAGCTCCAAATCTTTATAACTACCATCACAGTTTTTAATCTTCACTTCAGTCAAATGATTCAGGCAGTCATGACTATCCCATTCATCCAATAGCTCCAATTCGTCACCCTCTGGAACAGTCTGAAACTGAGAGTTTTATGAAGACGAGTAAATTTTCTTTTTTTTTTTTTTTACAAAATTTCATAAAATATTTAAAAATTCATATATGATTAAAGATTATGATAATGAATATTCAAAATAAATATATACCTTAAGATCAATGCCAGTATCTCCGCTGGTTATCAATAAAACTTTTTGGCACAATGAAATGCGGAGGACTCCTAAGACGAGGTCGATATGGCTGAAGTTTCTCAAGCTGCTTGTTTTCACTGTTACATGACTCAGGAAATATATTGGTGGAAACCCAGTTTGCACGTCCTCGGATATAATAACATACTTGCCAACATCAAGAAATTGTTAAATTCAAGACTAATATATTCTTAAATGTAATATATGAAGATATAAACAATAATTAGTATGTATATATAAATATATGTACCTCAATTTTGGCACTGTTAAGTTCAAGAACTCTAGCCTGACCGAGGTTCCGAAGGAGATTCTTCACCTTCATTGGGAAGAGATCGTCGACAACCTTATCATCTGGTTTTGTCAGTTTGATTTCAGCTTTGAGTTCAGAAGATGTAATCATCTGCTCAAACTCCACAAGGTGGCCAACATATTTGAAGTAAACAAGCCTCGGTGCACATATTTCCCCACCGGACAAGAGATTGCAACCTTCAATCTCCAAGCTCCTAAGCCTCGAATTTTCTAGCTTGATATGTGTGAGTAATTTGCATGAAGCAATAGTTAAACTCTCAATTACAGGACAGCAAGAGAGAAACTTCTCCAGAGAATCGGATTTTAAGCCTGTAACCTCTTTCAGGGTTAGGGTTTTCATGACCCGGTATCCATTGCCTTTAGGCCATATGTTGAAGTCCCCTGTGCATAATGTTACAGATTCAAGGCTTGGGGCACATACACCCACCGGCTGACTGACCTCACAATTCTTAACTTCTAAGACCTTAAGGTATTCCAAGAGAAGATTAGGGATTTTCTCAATTATACTGCTCTTCACAGCTAGTCTCTCAATATTAGGGTTGCTCGATAGCATCTCGTTGAATACCTTCTCTCCGATTTTTGTGTATAACAAGGTCACGGATTTCAAATGAGAGTGAGTGCTATTCTCTCCCGTCGACATGTTAAATTTTGAAATCTCGGTGCAACACATACTGTGTCGATTTGTATCATCCTCAGAGAAATTAGTGTGATGATAACCATTAAACCGGAAGAACCCAGTGCCGGTGCATTAA